ATGGGAGGGGAATTCTCCAATTCCGGACGTCGGTGAATGCAGTGAGAAAACGAACAATATGCAGACACAGAACAACAGAAGACAACACAAGAACATATAATAAAAAATACTTTATTTATAAAATATACAGTGTATTACATTAAAGAAAAGAAAACAAAGCTAAATAGTAAAAGGGATGAGTGGACAATTGGTTGATCAAACATATATGCGACGAAATACAGACAAAAATAGTGACGGCAGATTATAGTATATATATATATATATATATATATATATATATATATATATATATATATAAACATGTAAAGACTTACAAATTGTAGGGAACGACGTCGATCGATTGTTATCAGAAAGTCCGAAAGAAAAAATGTCCATTCAATTCTCCGAGCAAAAAAGTTGGAGTTGCTAATGTCCTGATGTAAGTCTTTGATTAACGCCATTCAATCCTTGCCTAGGGCGAATAGTATACGCAGAAAACCACAGGAGTATAGACGACTTGGGTTTGAGAATACCGTTCAGGATTCTTTCGTCGGTCATTCGATTCTTGGTAACGTCCGATTCCTCTGAAAGCAAACATCTAAGTCCAGTTTTGGTGACGTCGGATTCCTCTGAAAGCAAACAGCTAAGGGAAGTTGTTATATCCCAACACGCGCGAAAAAACTGTTAGGGGTTAAGTCCCGTGTTGGCATATGAAAGTGAGTAAGCGTTATCCATTGAACACTATTTCTTATCAGACAAGCAGCGTTCGTCTGGCCTGCGATCAGAGACCATCTTTCACTAACTAAGGATTTGTCTCTTGAGGCCCCAGATGATTCTTTCATGTGCTTTCGACTTCCTTTATTGCACTGTTAGATATCTTTTTTTCTTTATTTCTCCCCTTCTTCGCAGAACGAGATTTCTTGCTGAATATATTTTTAATGATTTTTCTTTGGGAAAAATGGACAAGCATCACTGACACGTACTTAAAAAATAATCTGGCATGACATCCACTGACGTATGAAGACGATATTCTTGAAAACTGTTAAAGGGACACAAAGCACATCTACCGAGAGAGTCTGATTAATTCCTAGAAATAATAATAAAAAAATAAATAAAAAATATTTGATAATGTTATGTGAAAAAAATCGACAGAGTGGCGAGGATATTGGACAGTTTATGTTCAAGCTCTGCACAGAAAGCAGAAAAATCGTGCCAATTGATGAAAAAACATTTCATTTTTTTTTTAACAAAGTGCGATTAATACATGCACACGCAAACACACAACTATATATAAATAAAAAACAGTAGACTTATACTTAACATTACTTGCTTCGAAACCTGTCAGAGCACATTGGCTGCATTTTAAACAGTAAACAACGACAAAAACCCTACTATAAACGAAATGACTACTGCTCTCATGCAACAAAATATACTCACAATGAAGATATAACACTCTTGAAAATAGTTAAAGTATAAACCGACCACACTCGTGAATATATATATATATATATATATATATATATATATATATATACACACACATATTGTCATCCACAGACAGATTGTTTCGTTGTATCACAGCTCATCAGTGTCGCTAAACGTCCGGTTGCCTCTAGCTAGAATCGAAACCCGGCTGAATGGGCGTCAGTAGGAGATTCTACCACTAAGCCGTTGGCGCACGACAGGGATGAAGGTGAATTTAAGCGTATTTATTTTTAGATAAACACACAGTGACTGAGAGAACACGATTCGATTTACCGAAGAGTTATAGAAATTATTAGGAGGACTTGAGATAATCATAATTAGGTAATTCATCGAGCCTAGAGGAAACCTCAACAGAATGCACTAGACGGTCGTTTTGTCTATTTGGGACTCATCAGCAGTGCGCATTCATACCGAGAATTGAACCCGGGCTGTTACGATACGAAGCAAGCGTCATACCAACTGTACCAACGGGAATCGGTGACAAAATGGTAACGTCTTTAGAGGTAATTAGACTCGATATAGCGCCGCTCTTCACAAATTCTGTGGTGTAACTCATCCGATTTTCTCTTACCCATACGACTGTGCCCCACGAGCCACTATATATATATATATATATATATATATATATATATATATATATATATATATATATAGAGATAGATAGATAGATAGATAGGCAGCATATCTTCATTCAAGCGTGTTTGGTTGAATAATCTAGCCATATTATTATGTCTATTTTTATTTTAATCCTTTCAGTTTCTTAATGTTGCCATTAAACTCATTAAGGAAGGAGCCGTAGTTTTTCTCATTCCTTTTATTTTCCCAAGTACTTTCAATCTCATCTCACAGCACCTTTTACTTTTCTTAGCATATCTTCTGTCATCACAATGTAGGATATTTAAGGGAAGGAAACATGAATATAAAGAAAAAGAAACTGAATATAAAGGACTAGACTATATGCTCAAAAGATAAATTAAAATTAAATTTGAATTCCCCAGCGTCTCCTCTCTTTCGTGCGCATGTGTAGTCGCATCAACCTAAACATCACTATATTTTTCCCATCTCTATATAATCGATTCTATTAGTGACGTAGTAAAATTTTAATTTTATGTTATGTTAAATTTGATAAATAAACGTCCCTAATTAATGATAATTCAATGGTGGCTTTCAAGAATATTGAATAGGCAGAGCAAAGCATAAATATAAATGATATGTAATTGTAAATTTACTTAAATATTTCAATTAAACAATACCCGAGCAAAAATTCTGAGAAAAATTTGAATATATTTAGCATTTGCGAATATTTGATTACAGACAATTTTAATTTGGTTGCTTAATTTTGTTTAGCGGCATATCAACACCTCTTTGGGTTATTTAATGCCGAAATCTAAATAGCCTGAACGTAATTTTATGCTTTCAACTACAGACATTTCCTACACAATTTTATACTTTTAGACTAAACGTATATTTTTCTAGATATGTAGTTTGTAGATAGAATTTATTGTTAGTAATTTTATTAAAGGTGTTGCTGGTAATTTCACTATAAAAATGTATTGTTGGTCATTTCATCATAAAAATGAACTATTGTATTCTTGTTTGGGATTTCACTATTTGCCCATAGCCAGGATCCTAACAGGTGCTGCCACCCCAGATCAGGGTGGACCTGGAAACAGTAGCAGTTCCACGATCCTCAAAACCGCCAATCTCCCGGATGCCGGATGTTGTTTATCGTCATGCCGTGGACAGAGCAATTTTAAGTTGTTTTCTCTAGTCGAACAGATGAGAGGACGATTCCCCACAAGCGATATCATCTTTATAGGTTTTCAAAATGCAGATAGTTATCGTCGTGTTTTATCGATTTCATGTAAATTATTGCAGACGGATGGCCGTGTTAGAGTTAACGTTCCGACCTGGTTCCATGGTCGATTGGGGAAGGCGGCGACTTCTCTATAATGTCTGTGAAAGCTGCTCATCTGGACACGCGTAGAAAGCAAAGAAGTTCCATAGAATGTCAGCTTTTGGTAGGAGAAAAGACTGCAAACATTCACACGGGCTTAGCGAATGCTTATAGAAAGTCGTATAGAACGTCAGACAAGTTATTCATGATTTCAACGATGAGAAACGGGTTCGAATCTCCTCAAGAAGATGATTTGATAATGTTGGCACGCGGAGACGACCCCAGCGTAGGCCAGTATTGGGAAGTGGCTGAAAACCGTGACACATGTTGACCGAAGCCTTGTGAATGAAATTGGGAAGTCTTCGATGCTTGCGTTAGCATGAAGTCACAAGTCAACCTTGATTTTGAGCATACTGGTTTTGTCCAAATATTGATCACTCCAGATTATGAAGTCTCTCCTAGAAGGCGTGATTAAGCTCTGTTTAGCATAATTGCAGTAGAAAACAGGGCTTGAAAAACACAATGTGTCTGAGCAGCTGTCTGAAGCGGGGATTAGCAAGTCACCTTAGCAGTCGAGTAGCCAGCCGTTATTGTTATTATATAAATTATTAAATGATCTATAATGAATATTTCTTTTTTTTATTATGTCATTAAAATCGCTGAATTGAGAAGACAGCATTCTGTAGACTTGTCATATTATTTAGAGAAATGCTGCACTGAGAGCGCGGTTTCTACTGAAATTATTAACAAGGAAACAAAAGGAGGTAAAAGGAAGTAGAATATAAAATCAGTTAAACATTTAATGACGCAGAGGGCATCTCGGCTAGGGGCATGAAATTGGCGCCATTATCATTAGCGTCAACCGAAATCTGATTTCATTACTGTCAAAAAAAATCAAGAGAAAGAAAAGAAGAAGACTGAAGAGAATTAAGGAATGTGGATGAAAAGAGAGGGACAAGAAAAGGTAGGAGGAAGAATTGAGAGTCTGATGATTTTCTAAGCTTGGTTTAGGTGTGGCAGAAGGCCGAATGTGTGGGGCACCCAGTAAGGATCGAACTCACTATTCAGTTGTAATTGTTCTAGCGTGACAGGCTTGCTATCCATTACACCACGTCGAGGTATCCAGCAAAGCTTAGGTGTGGCACAAGGCTGAAAGTATGGGGCACCCAGTGAGGATCGAACTCACTAAGTCGTTGTTGTTCTAGCGGGACAAGCTTGTTAACCATTACAACGCCCCGAGGTGCCCATAACAATAGTGATTTTCCAAGCATAACTTAGATGTGGCACAAGACCGAGAGTATGGGGTACCCAGTGAGGATCGAACTCACTATTCAGTTGTAACTGTTCTTGCGAGACAAGCTTGTTAACCATTACAACGCCTCGAGGTGCCCAAAACAGTAGTGATTTTCCAAGCATAGCTTAGATGTGGCACAAGACTGAAAGTATGGGGTACCCAGTGAGAATTGTTCTAGCGGGACAAGATTGCTAACCTTTACACCGCGTTGAAGTGCTACTTTATATATGGAGTACCCAGTGAGGATCGAACTCATTACTCAATCCTAAATGATTTAGGGAGATAATGTTGGTAACTGTTACACCACGTCGTGCTACTCAAAAGCATTGAGAATATGATGGAAAATTAAGGAGAAAAAGTGAAAAATCCAGAGAAAAAAAAAAAAAGAAAAAAGAAATAGAAAGGAAACAGAAAAGGGTTAAGTAAAAAAAGAAAGTAAAATAGAAAAAGGAAAGAAAAGGAAAAGAAAGAAAGAAATAGAAAATAAAGGAAAGAAAGAAATAGAAAATAAAGGAAAGAAAGAAAGAAAGAAATGGAAAAAGAAAAGGAGAGAAAGAAAGAAATAGAAAAAGAAAAGGAAAGAAAGAAATGGAAAAAGAAAAGGAAAGAAAGAAAGGTGAATGGAAGGAAAGAAATTGTAAGGATAAAGAAAGAAAGAGAAAAAAAAAAAAGAAAAAAGAAATAGAAAGGAAACAGAAAAGGGTTAAGTAAAAAAAGAAAGTAAAATAGAAAAAGGAAAGAAAAGGAAAAGAAAGAAAGAAATAGAAAATAAAGGAAAGAAAAAGAAAAGAAAATAAAGGAAAGAAAGAAAGAAAGAAATGGAAAAGAAAAGGAGAGAAAGAAAGAAATAGAAAAGAAAAGGAAAGAAAGAAATGGAAAAAGAAAAGGAAAGAAAGAAAGGTGAATGGAAGGAAAGAAATTGTAAGGATAAAGAAAGAAAGAGAAAGAAAAAAGAAAGAAAGAAATGGAAAAGAAAGAAAGAAATAGAAAAGAAAGAAAGAAAGATCTAGAAAAGAAAAAGAAAGAAACAAATATAAAAAGAAAAGGAAAGAAAAAGAAATTGAAGAAAAGAAATTGTAAGGATAAAGAAAGAAATGGAAAAGAAAAAGAAAGAAAGAAATCGAAAAGGAAGAAAGATATAGAAACAGAAAAGGAAAGAAAGAAATGTAAATAGAAAAGGAAAGAAAGAAAAGGAAATGGAAGGAAAAAAAACTGTAAGAATAAAGAAAGAAATGGAAAGAAAAAAGAAAGAAAGAAAAGAAAGTAAAAAGAAATGGAACTAGAAAAGGAAAGAGTAACCTTCCTTAGACGCACCAGTCAGACGGACCGTCACAGCTAGAACTCGCCATGCCATGGTTACGACGGCAAATCAACTCCTTTCCTTTGTGTTCCTCTGATAAGAAACAAGTTCCACACAGACAGCTTCTTCGCCAGAACACTTACTTTGTGGAACAAAATCCCGAGTGGATGCTTCCTTGAAAACTACAATCCCCTTAAGTCTAGGGTCAACCGATATCTATCCAATACGTCCTCATAATGTGCAATTCTTTCTCCCTCCTTCTCCTCCTTCATTTAGTAACCCTCTAAATTGAGTGGCTATTGGGCCTTATATTGAACGAGATAACAATAAAAAAATGAAAGAGAAAAGAAGGAAGTAAATAGAAAGGGAAAGAATGAATGGAATGGGAAGGAAGAAAAGGACAAGAATAGAAAAGGAGAAAAGAAAGAAAAGAATAGAAAGATACGGATTAGAACGGAGAGGTGAAAAAATCAAAAGAAAGAAGTGAAGAAAGACAACCTGAAAAAAAAGAACCAAGCAAACGACGTAAAGCAACGGAGTTGTGTGTGTATTGTTTATTTAATCATGGAACAATAAATCGAAAAAAGATGTAGGCGATGAGAAGAAAAGAAAAGAAAGAAAAAGAAGAGTAAGATAGATAGATAGATAGATAGATAGATAGGAAGGAACAGAGTAATATAGATATATAGGAACAGAGTAAGATAGGTAAATAGAGAGATAGATAGGAACGGAGTAAGATAGATAGATAGATAGATAGATAGATAGATAGATAGAAACAGAGTAAAATAGATTATCTATCTATCTATCTTACTCTGTTTATAGATAGATAGATAGATAGATGGGGAACAGAGTAAGATAAATAGATAGGAACAATCTATCTATAGGAATAGAGTAATATATATATATATATATATATATATATATATATATATATAGATATATAGATAGATAGACAGATACAGAGTAAGATAGATAAATAGATAGATAAAAACAGAGTAAGATAGATAGAGAGATGGATATATATATATATATAGATATATATAGAGAGAGATAGATATAGATAGATAGATAGGAACAAAGTAAGATAAATAGATAAGAACAGAGTAAGATAGATAGATAGATAGATAGATAGATAGATAGATAGATAGATAGATAGATAGGAACAGAGTAAGATAAATAGGTAGAAACAATCTATCTATAGGAATAGAGTAAGATAGATAGATAGATAGATAGATAGATAGATAGATAGATAGATAGAAACAGAGTAAGATAGATAGATAGATAGATAGATAGATAGATAGATAGATAGATAGATAAATAGATAGATAGATAGATAGATCCTTCAGGAGACCGTAGCTGAAGTTAAGAAAGTGATTAGATAGATATATTCCATAATACACATAAATCAACAAAAATAAAGAACGTCTGCAGAATGCACTGATTGGTAATGAAGCGGCATGCGATAAAGATACGAACAGTATGAGACAAGTACATTGCATTTATGTCGTCACAAAGATATTAAAGACGACAGTTTGTGTAAGATGGCTTGTTAATGAGATAATGATACAGACATGCATCCGTACGCACGCACGTACTTACGTGTGTGTGTCTGTAATACACACCCATCACTATTACGGATGCACACATAATGGTTAAAAGAGACAAAAGTCAAAAGAACGAAAATGAACAATCTATAAGACTACAAGTAAGAAAGAATGAAATATATGCTCGGATACAGAACGAAAAAGATAGGTAACAGATTGACACAGAAGCGAAGAGTGAAATAGGTAGGTATATAGATAGATTAATGGCGGGGAAAATGACACATTATAATCTAAGCAAAAATCTTCTCTCAGCTGGCATCTTCCTGAATTACTTTTGATTTGGCGCCAAAGTCACAAGATGTTGCCATCGTCAGTATCATCTTGCGTCTTCTAATATAAGCGACATTACACACTTTAAACTTGTATTCTCTTCCCTCATCAAATCCAGAATTCTCCGTGCACCTAGTCAGCGACCAATAAAGGTAATGGGAATGCTTTTTCTTATAACCGGAGTTAGAGAGCCTCTAAACGCTACAACTCGGACCGGGCCAAATAGCGAACAAAGCAAGTGTCCACTTGACTTTTTCCTTTCATATGCCGATCCTCTTGAAGCAGCGTGTGATCGCCAGTCGAAAGCTGTTTCCCCTCATTACTGGCTAGATTCACTGGTAGCTTTACCTTGGGCTGCCGGGAAAGGATGAAAATGGTCAGTGCGCTGAGCTGTCAGATTAATGAGGGACGCGGGGTTTTACTGTTGGAAAACGGCGAGAGTTTGAGGAGGGAAAAAAAACCGTTGGTCCGAATTAGAGTGGACGTATCTTCGTCAAGATGACTTTTCAAACCTTTTTGCAGTTCTTTTTCGCCTCCCTTACCCTCCTCCTCCACTTCCCTCCTCCTCCTCCGCCAACCCTTCTTCTCCACTACCACCTTCACCCACCGCCACCCCTTGTTCATTTACCCCTCCTCCTCCGTCACCACCTTCTTCCTCCTCCTTTAACCCGCCACCTTCGTCCGCTCATATCACTTCCTAATTCTCCTCCTCCTTATTAGAATTCCCTAGATCCTTCATTTTTTTTATTAATCCTGTTTCGGCCGATCATTTTTGATCTTTTCTTTCATAATTTCTTCTTTTCTCTTTTTCCAACAAATCCTTATCCGGGTTCTTCTAATCAGTCATCGATTGAATCGCATTATCATTTTTCTTTTTCTTCCTCGCCTTTTATTTTTCTTCTCCAACTGGCCACGCTTCTTTCGTTAGCCTTTTCTTTTCTTTTTCCGACAATTAAACGAGCACTTTTTATTTCAAATCATTTAATGGCAAGCACAAAAGAAAAATAATTTTTGATGATGATTCAACAGTAACTTTTGAAGATACCCGAACTCTCATTCAATCAGGTGTCTAAAAATCAGCTCTGGCGTGAATCGAATATTTCTCTGTCGATGGCCCAGTGGATAAAAGCGTTGTCTGATTGACTTGACCCAAAGAGTTGTGAGTTCAATACCTGCAGAGGGAATATAAAAGAGTTGAGTTATCAAGGAATTAACTGAAACTGAGATATCCTAGGGAAGGTTACTGAATAGAATAATCACACGAAGGCTGGTAATGAATGATAATACCTAGGACAAGAACAACACATGTAAGATTCGCCAGAGGTGCTTAGAAGAAGTAATCAACTGCTAAGAGTGAATCAAGTTAATTCCACAATGAATCTCCAACTGCAGGATATCTACCAACCACCCCACGCTGTCAGATGTGGCACAAGGCCGAATTTAATGTGGGGTAACCGAGCCTGTAGGCTCGGCCAAAAATTCCCCGTAGACCCCGTATAAAACGGGGTCGGATAGCTGTTCTCCCGAGACGAGTCTCTGCTCTTCGACATAGCCTTGTCTGGGGATCCTCTCTGCCCGGAGGCAGTGTGTTTGACCAGCACAGCTGGAGACGAATCTCCAACTTTAGACCAACATACAGTATTTACTACTGTATTTATGTGAATGGGGACATACCCATTATCGTCCGTATGTATGCTACAACAATATCCAAAAAATGCATGGCACATGGAGTTAGAACAATCTACCCCCGTGGACTAAATAAAGAGTTCAGTTCGAAATTCAAAGTAATGTCACCTGTAGAAAGCCGGAGCATACGATGGCGGAAAGTTCGTGAATATGGCAATAAAGATGAAGGCAGCAGTCCGAATAATGTAAATCGTATAAATAATATTTCTCTGTTTGTCTACAGATCATAGCCTAAATGGAAAAGTTAAAATATGTGCTAAAGTCTTTTTTTCTCAACATCGTTCTTATAAAAGTAATCTCATTTTCAATTGGCCACACCTCACAATTTCAGATTTTACAAGTAAATAAATTTATACCAGATGTCGTTTGAGATGGGAATTATTTAGAGAAGTTAATGTTAAAAGCCGAGGAAGTCAAGTCAGGTCATTTGGATTTTACTAGCATACCAGAAGTACCTAGGTATCAGGTTTTACTATTTACATTGTTCGAACTATTGTCCTCATCTTTATTGCTAGATTTACGATGTTTCGACCGTTGTTTGCTCATACTTTTTTCAGGTGGTATACGTTGGAATTTCAGGTTTTATTAGTTCGATTTGGTAGAAACGAAAAGTATCTAATTATAATATAGTTAATTAGTACCTGGAATTGTTTGGGTTTGAACCTGTGAATTAACAGGGTTTTAACTAGTGATCCAGACCTTACTGCATTTGTTACTGGAGACGTGAAAATTGTGACACACGAGTAGGCCTTAAACTGGGTCGGATCTGACCGAAATTCACACTTGAAAATTTTGTTTTTTTCTTAATCTAATTCACTCTTTTTTTTAGTATTGGTTGGGTAGGTACTTAAAGCCGAAACATATTTGGGATTTGTTCTAACTTAGAAAAGGTTACTGAATGAGGAATAACCAAAACGGAGGTTGGAAATGAAATGATAATCTTTATAATATCAACAAAATACAATACTCGCCAGCGGCGTGAAGTAGGTAAACCACTGCTAGTGGTGGACTACTTGGACAGCATATTAACCCCAATTTACAATAGTGTCCAACGTACTTATGAGGATTGGGACATACCGATTAGTGTTCATAGGTACTCTATATAACACTATCTATCTATCTATCTATCTATCTATCTATCTATCTATCTATCATAGCCTGTTCATTATCTATCTATCTATCTATCTATCTATCTATCTATCTATCTCAGTCTGTTTCTATCTATCTATCTATGCTTTTTCCTTCTTAACTATGTATCTCTGCCTGTTCATTTCTGTCTATTTTAGCGTGTCTTTTATAACTTATTTCCATTGATTTTTATATAGCCATCATATCTTCCAATATATCAGACGCTATGTTGATATTTATTGAAACGAAAAATGTAACAAACGTCCCACATTATCGTCAAGCCATCAAAATGCCGCCACAAAAAATTTAACGAACCAAAAAAAAGCGAACAACTTGGATGATTTTCAGAAAGATTAACATGGAGTCAATTTCCAGTCAAGCCAAAACATTAAAATAGATTACGTATAGTGTAGATGCCTGGCTTGAAGTAAGTAAACCAAAGAAATCCTACATTAATATTTAATCATAGCTGGATTCATCACTTTTCTCAAATATATCGACGTGAAAGTGAATGCAACAAACGCGACCGGAAATTGAACTCTGACGTCCGATCTCTCATTCCGTGCTGTTATCCATTACACTACTCGCCCCCCCCCCCAGTTTAGCTGTGCGTCGTTAATTACAATACGAATGATAAAAGTGAAATGCGAATTCCGAAAATTAAATAAAATTCGTTTCTGTTTATATATTGTGCGAGTGCTGTAGAAACTGATTTGGAGTAAAAAAATTTCAGTTTAATTTTGCTGTCAAGAAGGTCAGAACCTTTAACAAGATTTGAGAAGAAAGAAAATCATTTCAGAGTCATTTTTTTTAACCAAACTGTCAAACGCTACCATAGTCAAGTAATAATACATATACTCAGGCGCGCGTGCGTACGCAAGCGACACATTCGTGGTCGACAAATGTTAAATGATGAAAAGTTAATACTTGACAAAGCCTCGTTAATAATAGTAAAGGACTTTATTTCAAGTATTTACGAGAGTTATCTCCCTTTGCAATTCAAGAATCTTTTTTTTTCTCTACAGAATAATTCATTCACAATCTCCAAAGGATATACTTCAGTTCTTCACTTTGGTTGGTCATGATAAATGCAAATGCAATATGTCAATTTTTTTTTTTTAAACTTCAATAAAGAAACTAATTCATCCGTTTTCTGTCTCAACATAATTATTTCATCATCAAAACCACCTCCACCCCCACCTACCACCCCATCATCATCATCATCATCATCAGACGACGTTGTAGGATAGCTGCAAAGGCCTCCGATCGTAATTTTGGTGTTTTTAAGGAGCGTGGAACCACTTCTTATATGCTGTTGTTCCAAGGTCAACCCTGACTCGGAGTGGTAGCACTCGTTAGGGTACCAACTATTGGAAAATAGTGAATCCACAAGCAAAAAACAAAATACTATGAAAGCATAAAATCACATTTACATAGTAAAAATACCAGCAATACATTTTTATATAAAAAATGACTGGTAATACATATTTATGCATAAAAAATGACCAGCAATACATTTTATATCTGTAGTTGAAGTTGCGTTCTAAATGTTTGATTTTGGCATTGAATAACCCATACAAGTTGATATGCTGCTAAACAAAATCAAACAATAAAAGGATCGTTGCGAAGTTGAATGCCTAACCAGTTACCTTCACATATCTGCGTTAAAAAGCCGGAGCATTTATTCGTAGCATGTTTTGGGCAGGTAGAACTGGCAGATCCCTCTTCTTTCCAGGTGTAACAGGCGATGTACTCCAACTTGAAGGCTCGTTTTGGCCGTTGAAACCCTCCGCCCAGGTTGTTGATTTCAG